AAAATTATTGAGGTGCCTAAGTTAGGTCTTCCTACCTGCCGACTCACCTTTGAAGAATTAAAAGGCCTGTTCTTGGTGTTAGTCCAAACATTTGCACGTGCCATGCACACGACTACTTATGTTGCTCTTGTTTTGTCGTTAAAAGAGATGGCTTTGTGATCTGGCACGTATACACTGTTGGAGTGGTGACTGTCAATATTCCAAACGAACCCATTAATCATCACTCGACGTAAATTCATTAGCTAGGAGTTAAATATAAGCTTTTTTTCGGTTTCTTCTGCTGCTTCTCGTACTTTTGTTTCTGTCGTGTTTCTATTGCAGAATATTGAGCTCCAACTAGCTGTGTAAGAGGCAGAATGGAATGATAGTGATCTTGTGTCCGACCTCTTTCCAGGATGATAGGGACACATATAACATGTCAAAATTATTTATGCACTTCATTTTCATTTATTACTTTGTTTGAAAAATGCTTATGGTGAACTTTTCATGATTTCAGATATTGAGTAGAACTAATGGATCAAAAAATCAGATTCCCCTAGATCGTCTTTCCCTGGTATATTATATCAGAATTCATATATGTTTTTCATATAAATTGCAATACTAGTCTGAGAGTATTTAAATTGTTTTAAGCTGATTGTATTACGTAATGCAGATCTGCACATCGGCAGTAAAAGAATCGGTAGCAAATGTAAGTCTTCTTTTTTGCTCTATGGTCTGCCTGTTTTCTCTTTAAAATTTCAATATTACAAAATTTTCTTTTGTCTTGTTTGATCAGGTATATGGAAACAGGTTTGACTGTTTCCTGATGAACTTTGAGAAATCATTTACCAGCACGCTGGGAACGTTGCGGTTAATTAATGAAGCATCTGTTGCTGTTGCTGGACGCAGAAAAAGATCATACCAAGTTCCACTTGACAAACATGGAAATAGATTAGTTGAAGCGCCATCTATTGTTGGAGAAGGAAATAATAATTGCAATTCTTTCCTAGATAGTAGCAGCTGTCAAGATGCACAAGGTAACTGCGAATCTCCTTGTGATGTTGAGAAGTTTGAAGACATTCCACAAATAACCACCATGACCAATCAGATTGTTCTTCATGGACAAGTGAATCATGAGCTAGCCTGTGCTTCTCATCGTTTTGGTCATGCCAGCTTTAATCAATCTATCTTGAATACCTTTGAGAAATCTGTTGTGGAGCAGACTCGCTCTAATGACCTGAAGACATATGAGATAGGTCTGATTAGGAGAAAGATACAATTAAAAGAATCACAGTTGGCTGTAAGCTCCCATGCAAATGTGCTAGAGAAGATAAAGATCTCTATGGGTATTTCAAAGGCTTCTTTCAAAGGAGAGAAACTTAGAAATCAAATGCTCGATACTAGACATGCAGATTTGCTGAGGAGGTGTATAGATCTTATGGTTGCTGGTTTAATCATCATGTCCTGTTGTCTAGGTTATGGGACATATATCTATTCATACCAGCGTATCACAGAGGTAACATCATCATGCTCGGTCATTCCCGAGGTTAGTATTGTCTCAACCACTAGCCACTTATTTATGTTGTTATTGTATTCTTATGGGGTTACTCACAAAACCCCTGAATGTTGAGGTTTTGCACATAAACCCCTGAACTGTGGGTTGTCTCTCAAACTGAACTTTAAACCTTTCATACTTGACACTCACCTGTAATTGACCAATAACTAAATATCTTATAGAGAAAAAAACCACAAATTTAGATTTTTTTTTGTTAGAGGTAGCATACTACCTGCGCTCATATCTTTTAGTTTAGAGGTAACACACCCACCTCCCCTCAATTGAGAATTTTTTTTTTCTCTCAAGGAAATTTTAGTTACTTGCAAATTACGGGAGTCTGGTTAGAAAAGCTTAAAGTTCAGGAGAATTTTGTGAGACACGCCAAAGTTCAAGTGGGTTATGTGAGAGAAAAAAAGCTTAGGGGGTTTGTGTGCAAACCCCCAAAGTTCAGGGGGTTTTGTGAAATTTACCCTATTCTTATGCATCTGCAGAAGTTCTTGCTACTGATATTTCAATAATTTTCCTCTTTAGGAGTCGAAGTCCTGGTGGGTTCCGAAGCAAATGGCATCATTCAGTTCAGGCTGGCTTATTTTGAGGTGCCATGTTGTAGCTTTCACACGAATGTTCTTTGGTTTGGCGATGATTGTGGTCATTGCTTATTCTGTTTTCCAGCGGTCAGCTATGGCTACACCAACAACTATGCCCGTCACCTTCATTCTCCTGTTGGGATTTATCTGTGGCATTGCTGGAAAATTGTGTGTGGACACACTGGGTGGGAGTGGGTTACACTGGCTTTTGTACTGGGAGGCTTTCTGCTTGCTTCATTTCTTTGCCAATATATTCCCTTCGGTTTTGTATCAGCTTCTTTATGGTCCAATTACCATGTGTCAGACTAAGGCAGTGGGTAGGATAGTACCGTATTGGCTCAGGCGTATTATGTTCAATTTGGTGCTCTCTGTTATTTATCCTGCATTATCTGGTTTGCTGCCATTTGCATCTCTAGGAGACTGGAAGGAGCATTTCTTGCAGAGAATAAATCATTTGATTATTGGTGTTGAGAGTCAAGAGTGAAAAAGAGAAGATATCAATAATTATGTTTTTAAGCAGGAGGAACTGATGCGTGTAATATACAAGCTATAAGAAGTTAGTGCTTCCTTGCTGGTAGTGATTTCCTAATTTATCAGGTGATGATGTATTCCAGAGATTAGCATGACACTGATGAAAAGCTGAGGAACGGATGCATGTAACATTATGAGCTACAAGAATATGGCAATGGCTCCTGTTGTATTTATAGCTGCCAATTTTAAGCGGCGACAAAATATCTTTGTGAAGTTTCTAATTTATAATATGCTGGTGTATTTGAAAGTAAAGTCGATAAAGCGGACAGGAACCTGTTGTGAGATATGCCTGAAGCTGGATATTTGTTAGTAGTTAGGGTTCTCGAGAGAGATTAGCAGATGTTATTGTTTCTAAAACAAGATTAAAATTTGGATATAATCTATATATATCTGTTTCCTGTGTTGTTTTGTGTTTCTTTGCGCTTGTAAAACAAGGTGAACTCTTTCATGGATTCTCTCTGATCTGAGGATAAGAGCAAGTGCAACAAGCTCCCAGTTGGGAGTCCTAGTCAGCAAGCTCTCAAGAGCTCTCAAGCATTTTAGATTAAAAAATTAACAAATTAAGCTTTGGGAGGCACTCCTTCTTTTATGGAGCTCCAACAAGCTCCTAGTTAGGAGCTCCAACAATATCAAAAAACCCCTCTTCTATTTTCATAACTCAACGGTAAAATTTTTTTTCACTCAATGGTTCATTTTCTACCCTCAACGGTTCATTTTTTCACTCAGTCTCATTTATTACACTCAACTGTTCATTTTTTCACTCAACTGTCATTTTCATTGTGAATAAATTCCTCTCAACAACGCCAAATCCCCAATTAAAAAATAAACTTCATCCTCTCCCTTCGACAGACAACTCCACCCCCAAATCCTTTCCTTCGACCGAACCCAATCCCAAATCATCTCCGACCCGACGCAACCCCACCCCAAATCCACTTCGCCGCCATCATTTCCGACCCGACCCGAACGCCGCCATCATCTCCAGCGTCGGCATCGTCACCATCGTCACCGGCACCCCAGTCGGAGGCCTCTTCGCCGCCAGAATCATCCCTGCGCTCCACAAACTGGTAAGGAGTAGTTTTGAGGGGGGTTTTTGTAAATTTTTGGCAGTTGGGAGCTCCCAAGCTCTCAATGTCCACGTCAGCCACATAGGCCTTGAGAGGGGGCGCAAGGAGCTCCTTGGGAGCTTGCTGGAGGGCTTACAAACTTGACTTCTGCCACATAGGCCTTGAGAGAGGGGTGCAAGGAGCTTGCTGCCCTTGCTCTAAGTACAAACTCCCGTTGCCTAAGACAAGCTCGTCCATATTGCAATTGGATTTCGGTTCTTCTTGAATTATGTAGGGTTTGGATGTAGATAGACGTACCTAACTAAAATCTGTCAGAAAAAAAAGGTGGAGATAGTGATTTGTTTTACACAAAGATTTATCGAATGAACGGCGCCTGGTAATGTTGGTCGTTAACGAGAGTTTCTATGAAGTTAATTATCAACAATGACCTGGTAATGTTGGTCATAACAGCTTGTTAACAAAGATCATGTAATGTTCTTTTTTTTCTTCTCCTCATCAAGTTTCTTTCTTTGATTTTAAATAGAGTTTATTGGTGAACTATCATCCAAATTTAAAAATGTACTAACATGGCTAAAACCAATTACAATTTCTTCAACAATATTGTCTTAATTCTTCTCCTCCTAAGTATTGGGTGGCTAAAATTTTCTAATCAGTAGGTAACTTGTAAATCTAGAATAGTTTTACCTTCCAAAAGTAATGAGTAGAGTGGTTTATTTCTTGAATCTGTAGTTAATTTAGCATTTTGACGTCTTCAATGGTAGGTGTCTTTGTGGGTGCATCTTGAATCTATATAAATGGGGCATGTGCGTTGCACGTGTTCTCATTTTCCTATGTATACGTAGGTCGTAAGTGTAGGTAGTTTTGTATATATGTTGTGTGTGTTTTATTATTTTTGTAGCATGTCAACTGAAAAAACAAAATCTAAGGCTGTGGTTGAATGAATGTATAGTATGTATGAACGTATGAAAGAGAATATATAGAACTATATGAGCACATTATCCTTTGAATTCAGTGCAGGTAGTTTTCTGGTGTGAATCTACACCTAACAACACTTCTATAGAAAGATCCATTGAGAAACCCTAAATATTAGATAATTAATAAATTAAAGGAAGAATAAAGTTTTTCTTTGGAGATAAATAAAGTCCGAAAAATGATAGGGCACACCACCAACCACATCCCAAACCACACCTCATCTCTCATATGCTACAGTACACCGGGCCCCACATGAGATTTTAAAATCTCATGTGGGGCCTGGTGTGCTGTAGCATATGAGAGAGGGGGTGTGGTTTGGGATGTGGTTGGGGGTATGCTCCTAGTGCCACCCATAAAGTCCTACTTCAGCCTGTTACTATTACCAAATGTGGTTGTACGTAGTCAACCATATTCCCAACTCCAAAAATAAGGAAGACCGTAATTTGATTCACATTAGTACTCTTTAAATATTTTGTCACTCATCTTTACCAGAAAAGCATAGTTCCTTTCTTTGCGTAAGATGTAATACTTAATCTCTCATCTTAATATGTTTGTACAAGCTTTCCGGTTGAGCAATTAAGTAAAGTTTCCTCATCAGATATTGTAACACAAATTACAAAAATAATAACGAAAACTAATTTATTTACGAACATAGTTATTTAATGTATATATTATTTTCATTACTTTATAGCTTTTGTGGATAATTGAAACTAATTGAAAATAATATTAATGCGATAAACAATTACACATGTGATGATGACAAGCGGTCAACAAGCTGCGCCGCTAATCCTTTCTGAAACAAAAATAATATTAGGCTATTTATATAAAGTAACAATATTTAGAAATTAATAGCATACAGAAAAGTCACTAATTAACATATATGAAAATAAAAATCATTAAGTTCAAGGGACAGCCCCTTGCAAATAGGTTTGATTACTATATTGGCAATTATTTAATCCCCAACACAACAATCCCATAGGTACCAAATAAATACAATAAAATTACAATAAATTTAAAGCATCTGACAATTTGGTTTACTTATAGAAGCATTCTAAATTCCATTAGATTTAATTTCTCTAACAGTTTGGTTCAATCTTCATTTTCTTAATTTGCTTCTTAATCTCTATCGACCCTCTCTTTGTTGGACTCTCGATTTTACTGCTTTCAGCTACAATAATCATAGTAGGAAAATATATCTCTTCAAGTTACGTATTTCTTGAGTTATGATACACTATGCTCTTCAATTATCTTCATCTCGGTCAAGTTATCCTCATTATTTATCCTTGCACACCGTCATTCGCTTCTAAATGAAGTTTATTCCTATAAAAACTTTAGTATGTTTTTCTTTAAAATAACTTGCTGAGAAAGATGAACCAACGCTATGAAATTTAATTATTCAATATTTACAATATAAATAATATTTGCCGCAATCCCAACGTCACTTAAGCTCTTTTTGCATTCCATGCATGCATGACAGTTAGCAATGTTTATAGAATTTCGATCCTCTCCGCTAAAAAAAATAGTAGAGAGACCATTACTTTTAATTCTAATTGTTGATTATTAAGTAGGTGATTTTGATACATTCTAAATCTAACACTCATCACACCTCCATGTATTGTACTTATTTCTAATTTTTACTCCAAGAAAAAAAAATCATAACTACACACTAAATAATCAAGGATTGTGATTAAGTAGTGGTCCCTCCACTACTTTGTTGGCCACGGAGAGGATCCAAATTCATGTTTACAACCTTTGCCACGATAGATTAAAACATACTATGCATTTAAGTAAGCCCTGAATATATTGTTGGAAATTGTGGTTAAATCTGTAATAAAACTGAGAAATTATGATGTGCTATAATTTTAAATTTTTTAGTCCACTGCTGTGCGTTTGAGAAACGTTGTGTTTAAATCAATATTTAGCCTACTCCCGTGCAAGGAGCCTAATGCCAAACTGCTTTCAGGAACAGCAGTACAGTACTCTGGTGTGTACCAACCCAGTACTGTCAAGATCTCTTTGATCTATAAGACCTTTCAGTTAAGACAAAGATCTCCTCGATCTCAGAACCTTTCGGTTCAAAACATTTTGGTTTTAGGGCAAGTTCCTGCGGGCACAGTTTCTGCAGCAGCAGCACAACAACAGCAATAACGTCAATCCGATGTTTGTTTTTTAAGCTCACATGTGTACCTCAAGAGCTGCCCAATGGCGCTATTTATATATAGGCCTCTAAGGTCAGCTCAAGATTCAATTGTAATTAATGTAACTGTTACAATTCTCAATGGTAATTAAGATTGTAATATCAATGCATTAAATTGCTCTAAATGCTATTGTAACTGCTGCATGCAGTAACTGTAAATCCCAAAATTTTGAATATTTTATAATAAATAATAATAAATGTGTTACATTATGATAAATGATGTTTATTAATATTTTAGTATGCTAGGAATTGATTTGAGATCAATTCAATGTATATATGTGAATATAGAAGTGATATCATGCACACGTGCACGAGCCTAAATCTGAGAAAAACAATCAGTTAAAAGTAAATGCATTTTACACAACGAAAGAGTTAGAATCTGGAAAAACTTAAAAGACTAAGGTTGTAGGTCTTGATAATCATATTTTATTACAATTTTATACCCTCATTATCGATTTTATATAAATAAATATGCCACTAATAATTATTTTTATCTTTAAATACAGGTTAATGAAGAATAAATCTCAAACTCTCATCTCTCAATAAAAACCCCTTGAATAAATGAAGAAATGAAGCAAAGAAGCCCATTGGAAAATCAATTGCCAAATTATCCAAAAACCCAAAGCTAAAAAGAAGAAGAAATGGCAAAGCCCAAAAGCCCAAGTCTAAGAACAAGAGAAAAGCTCGGATCAGCAACATGAGAGGACTGGGTATCGATGCCAGTATCGATACCCGTATCGATGCTGGCATCAATACCCCTATCGATGCTGGTATCGATACTGACGTACAATTTGTTACGAATTAAGGGCTAAAATTTGTTATTTTTTGATAAGATTTCAATCCAATAACTCTCATTCACTGATGTTTACTATAAATAGGGGTAGAGAATGAGGGGTTAGAGGTGTAAAAAATTTTGTAACTCTATTTGGAGATGAGAGCTTCTTTTAATTGAGAAGGCCTTTCAAAATTGTAACAAAAGTTACAGTTAATAATAATAATTTTTTCTCCACTTTAAATTTGTCTTTTCTCCTCTTTGTTGAATGATGAGGATGGAGATGAAGAGCAATTTGAAGGTTTGCTTTTCTTTTATTTTTCTCTTTTATTTTTTTTAGTAATTTCTTTATTATTGCTTATTAGTTAGATTTACATTCATGCTTGTAGTGTAGATTT